ATATTCACAGTCATAATCAGATTGTTGCTGTTCTGTTATGAAAACTATCACCAGTGACCTTATACTGCAAGCGTAAATACTAAAGAGGAATCAAGCATAAGCAGTGATATATTTGCAAGAATAAATTTGAAACTAGTGTAAAATAAATTTAAATTAAATATATTTTAAATAAATAAATGTATGTAACTTACGTTGATCTTTTTTTTGAAGTGACTATTAGCCGCAACAATAATTTAGACAATGGTGTACTAATTGGCATTAAATGTGGATGTTGTGAAATATTTTTATTCGTGACATAAGTTTTACCTCTCTCTATCAAAGATACAATATCATGTGATCTGAGTGATAGATCATTAACATTATTCACCCAACATGCTTGCAATGATTCTTCATTTGCCTCTTCCAATGTTTTTAATTTGCCACCAGTTATTTTTCCAGTAAATACAAATCTAAACCATGAACCAGTTGCACATTCGACTAGTATCAATGTTTCTGGATTTAATATAAGTCCTGTTTCTTCTAAGACTTCTCTTTTAACAGCATCTATTAAATTTTCATTAGGTTCAACACGGCCAGCAGGTAAATACCATTTTCCATTGCAAGTAGCTTTTGCTTCTTGCATCATTAATACTTCTCCTTGATTATTTATCACTACAGCAGCAACAATATATGTTACAGTTTTTTGACAAATTGGTATATAAGTACTAGGTGTTCCTTTTTCACCTGTGATATATTTCTGTTGTATAAATTGTTAATAACAAATAATAATTCCATAAAATAGAAAATAAACAATGAAATTAGAAAAAAAAATATATGAAATAAAAAATTGAAAAAACTAAATATGTTATAATCTTCAACATATTTTTTTGATTATTTACTTATAAATTTCATAATATTACATATTAAATGTGAACTTATTAGAACATCAATACATATATATCAATGAAGTGTAATTTTTAAAACATTAATATTTTTATTATATAAGGTTCATTTTTACCTATATCATTTTGTACGGCATGGTTAATATCATACGTGTCATCAATTTCTAAAGGATGGCCAGCTAATAATAATTCGATTTGTTTTTCAATAGATAGTGACATCTTATAGTATAACAACGATTTTAAATTATGCACAAAATAAATATTCAAATTATATTTTAAATCTCATATATTTTATTACTACTAATTTAACAATAGATAAGGTTATAAACAAAGTGAAAGTGATAATGATCATGTATAATCAAATTAGGCGTGTGCATTTTGCCGTAGTTGTATCTAAGTCATTACTATTCAGTTGGGACTTAGACTATCATCGTTCCTATGTCGAATTCCCTATATAATATTTAAAAGTTTTTAAATATTATGGTATATAATATAATGTTCAATAATATGATATATAATAAAATATAAAGAAAAATAAAAGGAAGATTATTTTAATTTATAGAGTATGATTTGAAAAATTTTTTAAACTTAACATAAAAATAGTAAATTTCGTAAATATTTACTGAAATTTGATTAAAAAAAAAACCGTTTCTATTAAATCATTGTGTTATATTATATCAAAATTCATCAATCATAATATAGTCTATATTTAATATAAATTCATTAATGACATAAACGTAGTTACGAAAAGAATTTTTATCGACTAGAGTCTAGGGAATGCAGTGATCAGAAAGTTATATCTTTACAACTTGAAAAATCAGATAGTTCTGTACAAATTGTACGACATGCGTTTCTAGTAAAGAAAGATTTGATACATGATGTAACATGAAAAGTGTTTACATAGAAAATCAAAATAAAATACCAAAAAATGGAAGCTTTAAATGTACTAATTGCAATAGGTCTCATTCACTGTTCGCTATTTTTTTTTGACACAATTTTTAAGGTACAATTTATTAAGACAAATATTTTAAATATTTTTTAAAACATAATTTTAAAATTATAATTAAAAAAGAAAGAATATTCTAACTATTTTAATATTTCATGAAATTTACAAATAATTATGAATACTATTTATTTTACAGACATGTTCACATTATCCATACTTTTATTTTTTGAAAAACACTGGTTTAGAAGTTCAAATATTGAGAATAAAATGGTTTACTACAGCATTTAATCGTAAAATAATTAAATGGGGCATGGATCGTTCTAAATTTTGGACTGCTTGGTTCAATGCAGGAGTAATTATTAGTGTCATTATTTTGCCCATTGCTATAATTGTAATATTAAGAATGACATTCAATATTTGGTCTAATGGGCCATCTCTTGATAATTCTAATTCTGAACCTTTATTAGAACCTATGGTAATTTTAAGTTAATACATAATTTAAATATTTTCATAGATAACTCACTAATAAGTCACTTAATGCTATTCGTAAAGTTATATATGATATATCTTTATTTTTTTATAGTTACCTGGTATAGATGTGCCCTTTAATGAAATTGGATATTATATTATTACATTAGCAGTCTGCAGTATTATGCATGAGTTAGGACATGCATTGGCTGCAGCAAGAGAGGATGTTCAGTTATTTGGTCTGGGAATATTAATTGCTTTCACAATACCCATAGCTTATGTACATATAAGCAGTGAACAACTTAGTTTATTACCATTAAAAAATCAATTAAGAGTTACTTGCGCAGGAATTTGGCATAACATAGTACTTGCTACAATAGCTGCAACTATTCTCATGCTTTCCACATGGTTTTGGGCACCATTTTATACAGTTGGAAATGGAATTTATGTAAAAACTATTTTACCTGTAAGTCTTTTAATAATGTATTTTTATACATTAATATACTGATTGTCAAATAATTTCTGTGTTTTATCAATGGTATATGAAAACAAATGATTAATCTTGAATTAGAAATGGTAAGTTCTTTCTATGAAAATTTATGTTTATAGAATTCACCTGTACTAGGTCCAACAGGACTCCTTGAACAGGATCTAATATATGAAATAAATGATTGTTCTATAAAACGTACTGAAGATTGGTATGATTGTATATTAAATACAGTTAATCAACCAGCTCTTGGATACTGTGTTAAACAATCATTTATTCAGGTAATTTTTTCCTGTACAATTTTCTTGTATTTATAAATTTTTATAATCTAATTAGCAAATTAATTTAGGAATATGATGAATCAGTTCCATCGAAACAGACTAATGGTGTTATAAACTGTTGTACATCAGATAGTGAAACCACTGGAAGTTTATGTTTTGAATATATAGAAGGACCGCAAGCAGCTCCTTTACATTTACCTCCTCATTCTTGCCTTCCAGCCAGAACTATGATTAATCAATCACAAAATTTTTGTCATGCTAGTCATGAATGTGTATTTCATGATACTCATTGTTTAAGACCTTCCCTTGATAATATTACCAAGGTATGTATTAAAAATAAACATTGAAATGTTAATCAGATAATAATACTTAAGGAATTTAAAAAAAAAATTGATTTCTCTCACAGATTGTTCAAATAAAGAGAAGAGAGGGAAAGGATGTATTATTTTTTGGACATCCGGCAGATATTTATCGAACTGTTGATGTATCTGATTGGGTACCTAAATACTCACTTTTAAATCCCAAATTACCAGAATCTTTAACACTTCTTTGCAAATATATTACAATATTTTCTGCGGGATTAGCAATTATTAATATTGTGCCTTGTTTCTTTTTGGATGGACAATATATTATAAATATACTTATACTTTATTTATTAAGTTCTACGCCCCACAATAAAAATATTAGACAAACCGTTATATTAACAATAACAAGTATAGGTACATTATTTCTTACTATAAATTTATTGTATTTACTTATGAATAAATTATTATAAATAATAAAAGGATATTGTTAATATTTGAAATTTCTATTTATAATACAAAGTACACTGTAATGAATTACATTTCTATATAACCTTAATGCCACTTTGTATCACTTTTTTAAATATTTTAATAAATCTTACTCTATTTAAATATTTTAATAGTCTCATTTGAAAAATTATTTACATCTTTGGAACAGATTGGACCACATAGGAAGATTATATTATATATTTTTATATTTTTTAAAGATAAGTTATATTAAATATAATATGTAAAATCTATCCATTTTCAAGCACAATATAAAAATAAAGCTAATGCTAAATTCTGATATGACAAAAAAGCAGTTATTATTTATTATTCCTACTTTCAACGCATTGTTATGATTATAGTTATTATGTAACAAAATTTAACTATTGTTGAAAAATAAATGAAAATTATATACTTTTATTTTATATATATATATATATTTTTTTTTATACTTATATATTTTGTATATATATATATATTTTTTTTGTTGTTGTTTTGATTATTATCTATTATGAAATTTTTTTATATTTAGTACTTTTTAGTTGTAGTCATATAAAAAAGTGATGTTATCGTTTTGCTGCTGCATCTCCATCTAATGCTGTAATAATACAAAAATTTAATACTTTGTAACAATATAAGAATTACCAATATTTTTTAAAAATAAATTTCTTAAAACATAGATATAGTGCTTATATAAATACTTAAAATACTTAATTAAATAATAATAAAAGTAAATATATTACATACTTTTTCCATCACAAGCAACAATTTTGACTTTATCTACGATTGCAACTTCTTGAACTTCACGAAATTCAACATCATTAAGCATGAAGGTCCATACATTGTCACAAAATCTATAAGTGTTCAATTTACCAGCCTAAAAATTTTAAATAATTAATAGTAATAATTAATGTTACTTGAAATAATTAATATCAAATATTAATTACCTTAAATGTAAGTCTTGATTTCACTCTAGTTGCAAGTGCTTGATTTATTGCTTTATCAAATTGTAATAGCACTTTAATTGCTAATTGAGGTGTGATTTGTCCATACTATAATATTATATTATTATATAAAATAACTATCATTTATAATACATGCAACTTATAATTCAAAAATTCTGTTAATTTATATAAAAATTGAAATTTTTTAAAATTAAATGATATTGCACAATAATGATAAAATATAAATGCCAATCAAATACTTTTTCATTTGAAATGTATTACATTAAGGATTATTTTCTAAACTTTAAATAATGACAGGAATGAGATTGATTTACCGACAACCTTAACCTCAATAATGTATATTTTTATACACATACCTGTATTAGTTCATCGAGGCTTTCTTGTAACGTATTGCCTAATGTTGTGTTTCGATATAATTGATAAGACATTATTCTTAATATATAATAGGCACGATGTTAAAGTAGATTGAGCTTTGAATAAAAGTAACCTTCATGCGTAATAAAAATAGGAAATTGTATTTGTTGATTAACTGTGTTAAATAAAATCGTATCGTACCACAGTTCAGGTCTGTGGTAGTCAGAGTTGCCAAAGGATTCTCCATCATAGAGATTACATTCCCTACGTCGCTGTTTCCCCTAGACCGAGCAATTCTGATGGTAATACATGTATAGATGAATACGCGATAGTAGGAAATGATAGCGGTAGATTCAAATTCAAGATTATATTCTCCGTTTTCTCATAATACATATATATCTAATATTTATTAAAGTTATTCATTTATTTATAAATTTATTATAACATTTAATTTCTTTTATATATTATATATAACATTATAATTTTTAAAGTACACTTCTAAATTTATAATTATATTGAACGATTTCCGCTATAGCAATAGCGGTGGTAGATACATATGAAACGACTGCGCAGTAATTGAAAATATAATACAGAATTATTTTGAAGAAAGTATAATCTTAAGTAACTAAATAATTAAAATGAAGTAACAAATTTGTTTAATTTTTATCCAATTTTAAAATATTATCTGATACTTGGAAAGTAGTTCATTTGCGGAAATGGTGGTTATACATTTAATTAATAAGTATTATCTAATTTTGAAAAATTTTCGTTTATGTAATACATAGTAATTATAAAATAATATTCTAATAAAGATACGAAATTAATACGTCGTGTAAAGTTGCATAAGATTGTCCTCCAATTGCGTATACAATACATATAGCTCATGATTTTCTGTAAACTCGATTTTATAAAAGCTTGGAAGTATTAAAGAAATGTTTCTACAAATAATCTTTTATATAAAGTTATACGGTGTGGTGTAAATTACTTTTTGCAGATTTTTCGTTTTCGAAATTTCTAAGTCATTTGTTAAAACTAATGGTTTCAATGATTTTCATTGACATGAGGTCACTTGTAATAATTTGTTAAAAATTAATGAATTATTGTTAAATTCAATAAAATGGAAAAAATAAATCATATAGCTAGTTTTAAGAGCTTACTGTAAAAGGAATATTTCAGTTTTCAAGATCATGATTAATCTGATCATGAAAAAAAATCGTTTAATTTCGTTCTTTTTAAAAAATTTTTCATGAATTTTGTGTATTTGATTTAGGCCAGAGTTTTTTATTTTTTATTCTCAGTTTTGAGTTTAAATTAGTCAAAGATTACAGCGGTAAAGGTGAAATATGTAATATACTTCCTACGATTCTCGATCGTAATCGATATTTCTCACGATCGATTATAAAGCGGGATAATGGCGGAAGGAAGCACACCTCGTCTGTAAAGAAAAAAGTGTTATCCACAAAAATTATTCAGATAGAAGTATCATCTAGAAGTTCTCAGGTAAAAATTTAAATCAATAGTTGTTAGATTTGTGTTTGTGTTTTGTATTTTTAAGATAAAACGTGCATTTCAACTCAGGGATTTAACCAAATAAGATTTAACCAAATAATTATTACACACATTTCCAACATTTAAAAAATAATAGTATATTAAGAAATAATAGTATATAAACGCTTAAACG